AATGCTCAGGTGAGCTTTGTGAGGAAATATTGTTATTCATATCATCATTTTACAGTTCAGCAAACTGAAGCACAGTGCTTTATCATTATTTTTCCACTATATAATATCATTTGTCAGAACTGGGCATATCAAGCATTTGTGTATGGAAGGGCTGAATAAAAGGATAGCTGACATGAAGTTCAAGGTCTATGGTTACTGCACTCACTCTTAGAATAGTAACCTTGGGAAAGCAGAGACATCCATAAATTTATAGACATGGTAAAAGTTAATCTTCTCAATATCACACAGCTGTTAGGGGAAACTTCCAGAACTAGAGAGAGAAACCAGGGAAGCACTCACTTTGGTTATAAAATTTAAAAGGCCTCCAAAATAATTCAGTAATTAAACAATAGCTCAATGAAACATTTAAAACTTCAAAGACATATGATGAAGAAAATATCAAAATTTTAAGTCAAGACAGGTTCAGTATTAACTGGTTTTTCCTTTTATGTCTGGATCCTGAACTTCAATGCTATCCCTCTGAACTCAGAGCCTACGCTTGTAACCATTATTTGTTGACATTTCTTTTATATGAAAGATAAAGAAGAGTTGAATATAACTTACTGAATATTAAACCAATAGTCAAAGATAATATTGAAAAAAGGGACTTGATTCTTTAGAAGAAAAGCAAAGAAAATAACTAATTTCGGATAAAGTCCCATTTAGAATCTCAAGTATGTATATAGTTGGGCTTCAAACAGAGGACAAATAAAAATCATATTTAACTTTAAACTTTTAATGGCCTCTTGCTTTTCTTGTGCTCTTTCCCACCTCCAAGAATCCAGTTATTAACTACAGGTCACCTAAACCTGTTTCCTTTGAATCTAGGGGTGCCTTTTTCTCTAAGAAACATAGATACCATTAAGAGTGACATGAACCCAAGAAATATTTCTTATCATGTATAATAGAAGCTCTGATGATAGGATGATGCCAACGTCAGATAATTTAAGACCTCAGCAATGTCATTACGGACGCAACTTCGGTCATGTTTAGTCTTTGCCTTTCTCAATGAGTCAACCACTGTCCTGATGATTACAAGATAACAGCCCTGGCTTTAGGTTTTTATGCTCCCATTTGACAAAATCCTTGTTCCTCCTTTAAAAGCAAGAAAACTCCTCCTAGAATCTCCACACCCGAAATCTTACCCTAGAAGGAATTATGAGTTTATAATTTTTAAATTAAAAATCTTGTTCTGTTCGTTTCCACATGGGTACAAAATCTGGCTCCGTCACTCACTACATATGTAAACTTATGCAACTTATTTAAATTCCCTGTGCCTCTGTTTTCTTATATTTAAAAAAAGGGATAAAATAATAAATCTACTGCATTGTGTTATTGGGAGGGAAGGGAGTTAATTTAGGTAGAGTTCTTAGAACGGTGTCTACCTACTACTGTTTTTTATGATGATCTTCACTGTCATATACACATGTATAATTTAACCTGTGGAAACATGAGAAATGAGAAAGTACAGGCTGAATGTGGTGGCTCACGCCTATAATCCTAGCTGTCTGGGAGGCCCAGGTGGGTGGATGGCTTGAGCTCACAGGTCTGAGACCAGCCTGAGGCAGAGTGAGACCTTGTCTCTAAAAATAGCTGGGTGTTGTGGCAGGTGCCTATAGTCTCAGCTACTCCAGAGGCTGAGGCAAGAGAATTGCTTGAACCCACGAATTGGAGGTTGCTGTGAGTTCTGATGCCATGGCACACTACCAATCATGATGACAAAGTGAGACTCTGTCTCCAACAACAAAAAAATAAATAAATAAAAAAGAAAGTACAATTACCTGAGTGTCTGCTTAAAAAGAGGATGTCAATAAAATCTTTAGTTGAACTGTATATGTTTTTCATTGACATGTTTGAATGTGATGACTGAAAGAAAAGAATCAACTTTAGGCCTAATACCTTATCTGAGTATGTGTGTGTATGTGTGTGTGTGCACACTTAGGTTTCCAGAAAAGTTTTCTACCTGGCTGAAAATCAGCAACTGTTCCAAACCAGCAACATTGACTTCACAAAAATAGCTTGATCTTACTCTTATAGAGCCAGGCTATATATATATATATGTCTGCAAATTACATATAGTACATTTAAGTGATAATTAAACTGGTATGTGTTTTGCTAGATTTTATTATTAAGGTCTTGAGTTAATGCTTAAAAAGAAGAAGAATGGGGAAATAGTCTCAATCTATTCTGATCATAAAAATCCCATTTTCAATATTCTTCCTTTAGATATGAAACATACCAGTGCTAAAAATGCTTTTAAATAGTGCCAGTACAATCCAGTTCCTTACATATGATTCTTTTAAAATCCTCAATTGCAATTATAAAATTCCATTCCATTTCCTTTCTCTGATGTTTAATCTTACCATTCTAACTACAATTTCTTGCTCACATAAAACTCTTTGAAATGCAGTAAAATGGGGTACAAAGCAAGGGAAGATCCATTATCAATGAACCATGGAGATAGGCTTCCCTGAGACCAGCATTTTACAGCTTAGGTGCTCTATCAATTCTCTAGAATAGAACATAAAATTAAAAATGTCTCCAGTGGTCATCTCTCTTATATGATTTCTGCCCCTCCCCCGCCCCTCCTCCCCACCCCTCCATCTATGGGATCTTACTCATCAGCACAATCTGTGGAATAAGTCTCCCATTTGAACAATGCTAAAAACACCCATCCACTATCATTCTAGTTCTTCTTTTAACATTACCTAATCTTAGTCTTTACAGTAAAATATACGAATGCTCCGATTTTTTCCATTTGATTTTGAATGTATTCCACTAAAATTGTTCTTTTAAGGTCACCGGTGACATCTTCATCATTAAATCCAAGTGTCCAATCTCAGTTTTCATCTTACTTAACCTGTTAGCAGCATTTGCTGGTTTGATCACCGTATCCTTCTCAAACGCTGTATTACTTGATATCTGGTGCACTACTCTGCTTTGGTTCTCTTCTCTCTCTCTCTCTTTCTCTCTCTCTGTCTCTCTCTCTCCCACTCTGGCTGTCACTGTCTCTGTCAAGTCTCCTTCTCTGAATCCATTGCTGGTTCTCCTCATTTCCCTGACTTACCTTTGTCTCCCTAAACTCTAAATGTTCTTGCTTTACTTTTTTGGAGATCTCATTCAGCATCAGGTCTTTGAATACCTCTATCCTCTGGTAGACTCCCAAGTTTCTATCTTCAGGAGCAACTTATCTTTTGTGGATCATACTGAGTTATGTAAATGTCTACATGTCTAGGTAGGTATCTAATAGGCAACTCAGCTACTTTTCTCCTCTCCCCTGCAACAAAAATCCTGTTTCTGGCCAGGTGCAGTGGCCTACGTCCATAACCCCAGAACCCTGGGAAGCCATGGCGTGTGGATCACTTGAGCTCAGGAGTTCAAGACAAGCCTGCGCAGAAGCAAGAACCTGTCTCTACTAAAAATAAAAAACCAGGAAGAGGTTGACTTGAGCCCAAGAACTTGAGGTTGTTGTGCGTTATACTGCCAGGGCTCTCTAGTCAGGGCACCAGAGGGAGACTATATCTCAAAAACAAACGAACAAACAAACAAAAAATCCTGTTTCTTCTATAATCCTCCTGCATCCCAGCAAACAGGTTTTACATTCTTCCAGTTTCTCACACCAGAAATCTTAACATTATCCTGACATCTCTGTCTCTCATATCCAAAATCTGCATTGGAAGCATTCACTATTAATGCTACATTTTTAATTCATTTAGAATCCGACCACATCTCACCACACACACTGTTACTACCCTAGTAAAAATCACTGTTAACTTTCTCTTGGATTGCTTGTTTCTTTACTCATTTCCCTGTTTCCTTCCCAGCATTATTTTAGTCATCAACACAACCAGAGAAGCTTCATAAGTCGAGGCACCTCATTCCTCCTCTCAAACTTTCCAATGACTCCCTATTTCAACCAGAGTAAAAGTCTACTTTGAAGTACTTGACCTTTAGATAATATAATACATTGGTATAATTCTCATCTCTTAAATATATCAAAGGGGGAAGAATCTCTGAAAAGCTAGTTTTTGAAACTAAGGAAACATTTCTCTAAAATTTAATTATAAAAAAAAGTAGGTGCAATTTATACCATATTTTTAGGTGGACCACCTCTTCAATTACATCTTAAAGTCTACTCTTGCCTCTTTAGAAAAACTTTCATATAATTAGCAGAACGACATTTTGGAAGTTCCCAGTCTGTTTGTTCGCCTGTTTTATTATTAAATCTCTCATTTTACATTTATATTTCCTAGGACATAAATGAAGGAAGAATTGTAGAGTTCAGTTTTTCCCGATTTTATCCACTGCAGTTTACTAAATGTTCAAATATTTTTTTTAGATACTGGGTTGTCTAACAAGCATAAATCCAATTTAATCTAGCTTGAACTTCATATAATCACTACTTGACAATTCTAGGTTCTTCCTGAAGTATCAAAAATTATAATAAATGGACCTATCGGTCTTAATTTAAGCACAGCTACTTTCATCAACTTACATACCTTGTTTGAAAATTTACACAGCTGTCTTCTCCATGATACTATCCTGTATAATATAGGGCAAAAAATGATTTCTTTCATTCCTGAACATCCATAACTTAGGGTTTATTTGCAATTTGGGTAACATAAATACTATACACACTATTTAAATTCATTGTGATTTTTCCCTGTGCTGAACTCAGTATTACTTAGATTACATATTTCCCTAGGGCAATTTATTTCTTGGCAACCTCATAATGTTGGGTACCAGAGGTATCCAATAACTTTTATTTTTAATTGAATGCACATGCCTATTATGGCAAGCTATAGTTTCTCTTTCTGAGCAAATAATTGTAGGTGGGGGATATTTAAATTGTTAAAATTAACACATTCTTTGTGTCAAAAGAACAAATCAGGAAAAACAGCTTTTCTTAGGTTCTTTGGAAATGATTGCAAAATGGGTCTTTTGTTTTTGATTACTTTTAGCAAGCTCTATCGCCAAGATTGGCTCAGATCCTCTCAGACTCGTACACGATGCTGTGGAAGAAACCACGGACTGGATCTACGGATTCTTTTCTTTGTTGTCCGATATCATCTCCTCTGAAGGTGACGAAGAAGATGAGGGCGGGGACGAGGACACGGACAAAGGTATAAAAAGCATAGAGACATATCTAATTCCCAGGATGAATATTAGAGATGTGTTTCAGGTGCTTGCTTAAGTTTAAGCTTGAATGAGCACTTGGGTAAAGCTAAACCAAAATGAATACACCCTGAGTGCTAAATGCATAGCAACAGGCTGCCCAACACAGTAAATTCGTCTCTATTTGATTTCCATCTTATAATTTATCTGCCATTATGGCAAAGAGTCAAAATTAAATGCTCATGTTAGTGTCGCATTATAGCACAGAGAGCCTTGCAGTGCAATACCGTGAATCCTCAATATATTTGTTTGGGAACGAAATTAGCTATGTTTCAAGTTTATCTCTAGGAAAATTGAAATAAAAACCGTACAGCTAAAATTACATGTAAATGTGTTTAAAGATAAGTCATATTTATAGTCAAATAGCAGAAGAAGACCTAAAAGCTAAAAGCACAATAAAAGAGTAACTTTTAAAAATTAATTTGTACTTTAATAGAACATTACAGGAAAAAGCAATCCAGTCTAGTGAGGGCATATGTATTTATTTATTGAAGGAATCTAATGGTGGTGGGTATGGAATGGAGGGACACATTCTAAATGTCACACATTTATGTCACTAATCGATGTGTTCTCCCATTTATTAAATGAATAACAGGAAATAGCCAGCCTGAACCACACAAAAATTGCCCCTGAATGGGCATGAAAGAGCAAAGCATTGCGATTCTGTCTTTCAGTATCATTATTCATCGGTATTCGTCATCAGAAATCAGATGGTCATCCTTGTCTATCAGGAAAACTCTTAGGATTAAAAGCTCTTCCATAATTTTATCTGAATTTGTATCTCTTTGGCCTGGCTGAGAGATCAAGATAAACAATAGAAAACTGAGATCAATCTAATATATAATTTGGATCAATGCCACAATTTTATTGAACGCATAGAAATGATAGTATCTCAAATAAAACTACAAGGTTCATATTTAAAACTGAAATTTGGAAAGCAGCATAATGTAATTACTATAATTTTCAAAACTAACAGATTAGAATAAAGTTACAAAAGAAAGTAGGAAATAGGTGAGGATAAGTTTTGCTGTGCCAAAAGTTTTCCTAATTTACGGCTTTTGTCTTGGTTTAGGAGAAAAAGAGGAGCCTCCCTTGAAAAAAAAAGGTAGGTTGTTTTCATGCTTGAAAAAAATTCCTTTTCTTTTATGGTTAAGTTGATTTTCAGCTTGACTCAAATATATTTTACTTGAGTTGTAACCTTAATTTTTTTAATATAGAGGTTTTGCTTAACAATTAGATCAACATTTATGGTCAGTCATTTTAATTTGTGCCCGTGAAGTTCATCTCCCTATTTTTCAGTTGGATGCCATCTTCAGCAGATGTGTTTGAATCCATCTATATGTGTACCAATGTGAATTGCAATTTTAAGAATAAGGGCAGAGTTCTGTAGCCTTGGAAGTGGCCCAGATGACAATGACATCTGTGACTTTTATTCTCATACTATAGCCAAATTTATAGACTTCAAGCTTTTCTTCTTATATTATTGTCAGTATCATTTTGCATTTCAGGTGACAGCTTGAGACAGGATAGCTGAGAGAGTGAGGAGCACAGCAATCCTAGAGGCAGAGGCATATATAGTCGGTGTGCATTCTGAGTCACTCTCAAGAAGTGAAGTCACCCGGACATGCTTGTGTATAGTGCAAAGTGTTTTCTTTTGCGGAAATAGCGAGGGTCTTCAGTGATGAAGCAGGGTAGTCGCAATCCAAATGATAAGAGTTGTAAGCCCAGGAAAGAGGAGTACAGCTATGGGACAAGGACCTCAGAGGGACAGGTGTTTTTATAGGAAGGAGTAGGAACTATGTCTGGAAGAGGCAAGAGGGAACAGATGGTACCACCCTGAAGCACCTTGGTGTAAGAGTACAACCACCACTTAAGCCAGACTTGACACAACTGTGAAGGTTTCATTACTGCTGCACATGATTAACTGTAGGTTCCTGAGAGTATTTACCGCAGAGAAGAGCACACTGGCTTCTGATGCTTTCTCCCATGACCTACAGTGGGTTCAGTTATGGGGATCCGGACAGAGAGATCCAAACCTGGAGCCTCAGCTGTGCCAGAGCAGATGACAACGACTCTTCTATCTGGTGTAAGAATGTACTTAGTGTATACCCATTTAGAAAAATTGAGTTTGTAGCTAATGCAACCAAAAAATGAGCCAAACAAGTGAAACTCAACCGTGGCAAAGGCCTTTAGAAGTGAATCTGTTTTTTTGTAAAGTTCTGCAAAGAGATAGAAAGAGTTTCTTGACTCATGATTTTGGGATGTAGACTCAAGAACTCCAGACAGACTTCAGCCATCAACTTGAGGTGTAGAGATTCTAGATCAGACTAGAACGTCTAGACATCAAGGAGGAGCATTTTTATAGCTGATCCAGTGCATAGTGACTAGAATAGCTAAATTTTAAGTGAACTGCTAGTCAGTGTCTGGAAATAATAGCTTATGCACTTTTTTTTTTACTTGAAAGTGGAAAAAAGAAAAGCAGATAAGGATGCTTTCTCATTTATACTTATAAATTGAATTCCACAGACTATCATAAGGTCATATTCTCTATAAATTGATACATACTATTTAATAAAATATCTTTTCTTTCCTTTTGATTTAAATTTTCTGTTAAAATTCATTTAAAATTAACTTTCCTGTAATGAGTAGCATAAATTACAAATCCACACAAAGCTGTTTAACTACTGTTTCCCCAATTATTGCCTTGATTCACCAAATGAAACTTCCAGCAGAACAACTAGTAAATCGTTGTTTAGGATACTATTTCCCCTTCAGAAGAAATGATCATTAGTCAACATCATATAAGGGAGATGTATAGTTAAATACATGTACACTAATGTTGTGAAGGATTATGGACTTGAAACTAGGAGAATTAAAATCACCTGAATGTATTTTTTAATAGTCTTCACAAAACTACATAAAAGAGTGGGCATTTCGGTAAACATCTTATACACCCTACTTTGGGTACAGAGGCTAGGTAATAATAATTGAAAGTGGACTCAAGGAAATACAATTCACTGCAATTACTTTTATGCATAAACTTTCCTTTTGTGGAGACCTAGAGACAATGAGAACTTTTCAGTAGCGCATATCATTTTATAAAGCATTTCTAATATACATTCTGCAATCTAAAGTATGCTTGTGATATAATTATTAGGAGCGAGATTCTATAAGCTTATTTTAATCTCATCGTGAGTTTTTTTCCCTCATTTTCATATTTAAAAATTTTGGTCGAAGATGTAAATTTTGGGATAATCTAGAATCTCTTAAAACATTTGATTCTTACACATCTAGACGCCCCCAACAGTGCTCTTTCCAATTCATATATATTCGGTAGTGTTTAGCCCTTCTATAGTTTCTAAATTCTGAATTATTAGGCTGTGGCATATGTTATTCAACTGCCCTACGTTTACCTAATTTTATTTACGTGTATTTGAATTAATCGTATTTAAAATGTTCATTTTATTTGTCCAGTTATTGCTATTCTGACCAAATAAAAATTCAAGTGACTGGTTATTTACGAGTTTAGTCTGGTGGTTCTAACTCGATGTGGCATAATAGTCCAGTCAAGTAATCTCGTAGTTGCAGTACTGAGTATTAAACATATTATTAATATGGATGATGTTTTAAATCGGCTATGCTGTGGCTTATGTTGTTATATATAAACATAGCTTTGGGGTGTTACATGTAGTACCTAGTATCCTTATATTGGTCACGCATATTTATTTTTTTCAACTTGTCAAAATTTCAAACATTCAGTTCTCCTAACAAACACTTCGTCACGAGGGTTCAAGATCCTAAACTACTGGAAAATATCATATTTTTGTCATATAATTATTTAAAAATTACAACTATGAAAACATAATATTATTGTAAACCACATATCCTGAAGAAATTATGAATGATGGATAGTGAGTGTACTGTGCATAGCTGGAAGCGGTGTTTTTCATACCAGAGTCCACATCATGGATGTGTTAACACTTCTCTTTCCAGGGGCAGATGTGCAGGTAGCTTAAAAGGAATCAAATGCCATTTGAAGGTATTCCTAAAATTGATTTACCTGAGAAGATCCCCAGGTTTTTAAGAGTAATATTTCTACTTCAAAAGATGAAGAAATATCCTCCATGTATCTCTAAATTGCTAAAATGCCAACCAAGAGACAATTAGCGGACTGGCCTTCCAGCCCTGTCTACTACCGTGCATACATCTGCTAAGTGAGAAACCCTGTGTTCATACCTGGTGCTCTGTGTCGTGAGAAGGGGGTCTGAAGTCAGCCATAAAGTAGAATGGAGTGACGGAGCAATGACAAGTGTCATTGAATAACTTTGCTTCTTATTTAGCTACTTAACATGAGAGCCCATTGTTCTTGAGGGAGAGCATCAAGAGGGCAAACATCAGTAGGAGAGACTGAAAGTTAAAATGGCTTTTAAAAATTTGAATGCAAGCAATTCTTTCGGTTCTTCTCAACACTTGTTCCTAGGAAGTATCATTGGCATAGAGAATATATATTTTGAAACAAACAACGCTATGTAGATTACTGACACTCATTCTTTTAAATACTTTCTAGGACAGCTAAAGTTTAAAAGTGTACTGAATAAATCCAGGGATGCCACATTTCTGTACTTCCTTTCAGGTTGATTGCATATTGTTCAAAACCCAACATATGAAACTATACGACACTTAATCTAACCATAGTCAAACCTCATTTTATTTCATCTAATATAAAATCTTCAGCATTTTCTACCTCCTTGACAAAAAATTAAATTATAGACTATTTGTGGGACCAATGAACTATCTGTATGTATGTATATGAATGTATCTGTGTCTATGTTTTATATCATGTATACATTATTTATAGTATGTGTATTTTCTACTCCTATTAAAAGGAAATTATATGCTAATGTTCGGATGTTGTATGCATACATACACTTTCAGCATATCTTATCTTTTGCTTAATATATTGTAAAATTTAATATAATAGTTGATATAGCTATTTTAGTTATTTCTTTTATATTTGAAACTTATTTATTCACAAAAGAAAGCATCAGAGTTTTATAATTCCTTCATATAGAAGTAGTGTCATACCAAATGTGTTTCTCACACTTCTATCTTTGTCAGCAACTTAAACTTTCGTCTGTAGGTAACACAGTGTTGGTATAAATAAAATATAATAGAACATTGACTTTTCATTTTATAACTTATTATTAAATTAAGTTTATTATATTAAATCCACATTATAGCACTTAAATCTTTTGATCTACTTTTAATAACAGCTCCAAAATTTGTGGCAAAAATTATTGCTTTCTTCATAATTCTCTCAAGGTATAATTTTAAAAAAATTGAGTTAAAAATTATATTTTTTGACAGAAAATAACTTTGATTTGTGTAAGAAGTTTGAACACAAAGGGTGGCTTTGCTCACTATGTAACATAGGGACAATTTTTTCATAAATTAAATGAGCAGCAGATCAAGGTATACATGAAATATACTCAAAGGAGGAAATACATTCACAAACTCATAAGGCAATAACATTTTATCCAAAATTATTACAATACACAATATTTTTATTTTTCTCAACTCTTTCTGAATATGTTGTTTATTCAAGGTACCACTATGTGAAAGTCGTAGATACATCAAATAGTCATTTAGAAGGCCTCTTTACTTCCCCCAAATTCAGGAAATTAATGAATTTGACATCACAGTAACAAATCTTTTGCCACATGTGTTTTTTCAAGTCTTTGTTTCCAAGAAAAGTGAGGAATAATCTATCATTTTGGATCATTAATGGATCAATTAATGGATTAATCATTAATCCATTACTCAACTGAGAGATCATAGAAAATAAATTTCTTATTGATTCTTTATGTTATTCTGACATTACTTGAAAGGAGACTAAAAAATTGAATAACATTGCCATAACAAGATTGGGTGTACGTGTGGATGTGTTTGTACGTGTGTGAAGGCCTCTCAACATTTGTATCATTACAAGTAAAAAATAAGGCTCGACTTGTTGATGAACTCTATTTTATTATAGCCATCAATCACAGTTATCCACAGATACCTGAACTATTTTTAAAGCTCCTTTCATCTCATAAAGACATGCTA